GCGCCCTGCCAGGGTCAGATATGTCTTGCCACAGAGGAGAGACTGAGTTATCCGGGTGCCGAAAATCGGCATGCATCACTTCAGATGCCAGCATGAATGCTGCCTTTCGCAACGCTGGATCCCTAGCGGCGAGTGAAGAAGAAGAAGAAGTATGTATGTGTATGTATACATATATATATATATGTATTTGTGCAGTATATGTAGCATGTATGTATGTCTGTATGTATGTATGAAGGTGCGAATGTATGTATCTGTGTGTATATAAACGTGTATGTACATTTCTCTCTCTCTCTATATATATATATGTAGTGTAGTAAATACGACTAAATAAGTGTGTATATATATGTATATATATATATACACATGTAGGAGTATACGCGCCCTATGCACTCGTCCGAATTCTAGGTGTACCTGACCTGAGGAAACCAGGAAAGTCAGGACAAAGAAGCAAAATACAGGGATCGAAACAAAAAACACCTCCTAATCTAAGAAGCTTATGGGTAGGACGGAAACAAGTTGTCCAACTCCAAGGTTTGCCAGAAACACCTTCGCAGAAGAGGACATGTCGCGAAGCATGCGTACGGACAGCTTCTTTGCAGACTCTCCGGAGGCTTCACCGAGGCAGTGCCGCGCACATTTTGTTGTAGCTCTCACAGCTCGACGCGGGGTGCTGGCAGGCAGTCGGATTGCGACATGGACGATGCCGAGCTGGGGGTCTCGGGTGTCCGGGCACGGGATAACGATGCGACGGAGGCTTTCGACGCTATCGCGGAGGAAATCAAGCAGGCCAGCAGAGCAAGATTGCTGGGCCACAGACCCTCTGCATTTTGCGCGGCCTGGAGGACTGCTCAGTTCTTCGCTCAGGCAACGCACCGTGGCTTTTGTGGCGCGTAGTCGATGTTATCGCGACCTGGCAGCACGGCTAACCGAAAGCTACCTCTGTCATTCACCTAAAGACTGCGAACGAATGACGAAGGTCTCTGTTTGTCGGAATGCTAGCTGCTAGCCGATTGCCTTTTATCGTGCCACGCTTTCCCGCATGTTGTGACACTCCCCCTTGATTTTTGTTACGGCTGTTGTAGAACATGCGGCCATCGGAGTCAGACAACCTTGATGGCTGCGTGGTGCTTCTTGAACAGCAAACCGGATTTGGCCATTGTCCACCTTTCCAACTAGCTTGTCCAATCACGGCTGAAGTGGCTTTCGGCTTTGCTTCCCTGGCCGAGCCTTCGAATCCAGGTGCCTTGTGCTCTTCAACTTAGGAGCTCTTGGAGTGGTTTTGTCGTTGTGACAACCGGGTCTGCGTCCCGAGGTCGATGACATGCAACCGATTTTGGCTGCATTTCGGGCGAGATTGCAGTGGCAGCAGTCTCAGCAGCGGTCCAAAAAGCCCAGCCTTTTTCCCACCGCCTTTTTCCCATCCGCCTTTCTGATTTTTTGTGCGCTGTGGCTCTGCCCGTCTGCCAAGGTTCACAGCCCACATTGCCCGGCGCCGTGCTAAATCAGACAACGATGTGGAGACTTGGACCGAGGGGGGCGAACATCAAGGCATATGCCCGTACTGCAATCTTCCCACGATTCAATGCCCGACGAATGTGGGCCCATGGTAGCTGAGGAGAAGAAGCTGCTTTGGACACGGGTTGAGTTGGAATGGGTGCAGCGGAAGGTCCGTCCGATCAGTCGTGTGTCTTGATTGCAGAAGGCACAGGAATCACACCGAATGTGCTTTATTCGATCTACCTTGAGGTTGTCCGGCAGATGATCCACGACAAGACGATCGTTGGGGATGTGCCGGCTGCAGCACTGGCAAACTTCGGGCGTGTTAGATTGTGATCAGTGCCAGGTCACCCAGTACTTGGAGGATGTCGAGGATCACCTGGAAACATACATCGAAGAGCTCAGTCGAAGCATCGGGGCATCTCGTTCAGAAATGGCGCGTGAGGCGAGCTCCGAGCTGGTCTCGTGCAGCCGAGGTGTGCGACTCTCTGAGGGACCAGGTCCGGAGCTTTCGAGACCGCGAGCAGCAGGGCGCACCTCGGCAACTCCCCAAGCGCTCAGCCCAAGCAGTTAAGTGGTGCCTCTTCAACTAAGCCGAATACGCCTAGGCCAGGCCTTGCCTGGTGGTGATAACGTGGTTTAGCAGACTGATGTTGACAATGGTCTGCCATTGTTTCACCCGTCAAGATGTCCTGCGATCAACTGCAAGGTTCCGGACTGGTCGCATGCCCGCTTTGCCAGTCCGCACAGAAAATTTGACGCGGTGGTGCACACCGCCCGTACGTTTGAATCGTTGGTGCTGTCGTGGGTTTGCTTTAGAACTTCTCTAGGCCATGTTAATTCTAACGCTACGCAGCCCGCCTCGGCTCGACAGTGGCGAGGGAAGCGGAGGAACGAATGGATGAAGATGGGAAGGAACGGGCCAGCTGGGGTGGGGGGTCGAAACTGTGGCCAAAAAGTGCATGTCACCAAATTTTCGGGCTGCAAAGAGGATGAAATAGAGGAGCCGAGGGCCTGTGAGGCGAGTGCAAATTTTGTGACTTCCGCAAGAGAACAGGGGGAGAGAGATAGGGAAAAGAAGAAAAAAAGCACAGAAGAAGCAGGGGAGCAGGGGCGCCAGGAAGGGAAACGGAGGAATGAATGGATGAAGGATGCCTGGGGCCTGTGGCCTCGGCAGACTTAAGGCTAGGTTTTATCCTGTTTGGTCCCACTCGTATCAGTTGTTCGCCTTTCTAGACCTGGTTTGATTATTGCGGTCAGCATTTCGTGAAGGATTCTGGAGGCGAGGATGACAGGATTGATGTTCGCGCCAAGGTGGTCTATGTTCTTGCCTTGGTTACCACGATGACAACCCCACTGCGGCTTTGTCGGCAAAGCTTTTTCTTGTGACTTCCGGCCACGGCAAGTTTTGGTTTTTGATATGCTCGAGCTAGATGTCTTGAGGCAGCTGCTGGCATCAATGTACGGCATGAACTTCATTGACGACAGTGGAAAGCCCGTGGTACCAGGCCGTGCTATCATACGGTCGGTAATAAGCTCAGCAGATTTGCTTGCAAGGCCTTGGCAGGCTGGAAAAGCAGCGCGGATACTGCTTGTTTTGGGGCACCTTATCTCAACTTATGCCTCGCAGAATGATGTAAGACTGAGACATATGTATGGTGCGAGGATCGAGGCGAGCTGAGTTTCAATCAGCCACATGTGATAAAGATTATACATGTGGCTGGCCTGACTCGGCCATGGACCTCGAGTCTGCCTGCGAACGAGCGGGCGAGCGAGAGAGAGAGTATGCAAGAGCAGCCTGCAAGTTGAGGTTTGGGCGTCGCGATCGTATCCGCCATCTACATCAGTTTTCGCTATGTGTTGAAATGGATGTAGCTCTAGCCTGTGCCCATGCTGTTTCACGAAGTTTCACCTGTCGAAATGCATCACACCGGTGCACCTTCAGCTGATGCAGCACGAGGGTCTGTACAGGAAGTCGGACGAGCCTGTGATGCGCGGGATGTTGAGGGGAAAACAGCCGAAGCTCGGCAAGTGACTGAACCTCGCACAGGCAATTACTGTTCGGCTCCGGCGCAGAAGGAAATGAGCCGCTGCTGGTTCGCAATTTGCCGAAGCCTTTTGTGCACTTGGGTTTCGGGCCCTGCTATGAAGTCCCAGCATGCTCAGACTGTCTAGCCCATGCACACTCCAACCGAATTCCACTGTCAACTGGTGCTGTAGTGGCTTGGGACTGGCTGTGCCTGAGCTACCGTGAGCCCACAAGACAGCTCCGGCTCAGTGGCATACTCGAAGCGAGCCCAGGAACTGTGGAACTGTATGGCCGTGGTGCAACTGGAGGCGTATGCACGAGGGAAGGTGGCATCTCGCTCTTGGGATTGTCAGCACACGTACAGAGGTGCAGGCTGCCTGGGTGGCTGTTTGGGTGCCCTCGTCGGCGGCCTGGCAGGTCTGTGCTTGCCAGAGGCGCATGTTGTGGGCCGGACCTGTGTTGGGACAGATTATGCACAATGCGACCATATTGTGCTGGTTTCTGTGTGCATGTATTGCGCCAAACTGCAACACTGGTCAGGATGCGATAGCAGGCGAGCTTATGAGTGCGGCTCGGCAGCACAGCGATGTTGTGAGAACAGCGGTGAGTGCCGCGCAGGAGGGCTGCAGGACCGAGGGCGCTTCAACCATCTAAGGAGATGTTGCCAAGTCAAGGACTTCCACAGGAACCTGCTCAGGTCGCTGCCTTCGGCACCCACACAATTAAGCTATGTGTGCTGTGATGTGCGGTGCACGGAATGTGCGGTGGGGCACAGCCCTGGACGCCTAATCAGGCAGTGGCCAGCGCGGCCAAGGCCGACGTGGAGCCTTTCCACAAGTTGTGTGAGGAAGTTCGTGCAAGATGCTGTTTGCATGGTAGTCAGACAGGTCCTGGCAGCCGATGGATTTGACACAGAGGCTGTCAACTTTGAATTCCGACGACAGTGTCTACAGGCACCTGCGAGTTCCCGCGTGCTTGCCGGAGAAAGGAGGAAGAGGGGAAAAGAGACGGAGAGAGATTCTCAGTCATGTCATCCTTAGCTTGGAAGTGTCAGTAACTTAGTTCGGCAGAGAGGGTGGCCAGTGGAGGAGGTGACTTGATGAGGTTTGCTATTGCCGGGGGATAACGGCTTCATGTGTTGTTGCTGCGTTCGGGGGACTGGGCCCGCGCAAGTGCGAAGTGCATGGTTGGACTGCCCAGAGCTCCAAGCCTGGGAGAGAGGGAGTAAAGCCCCACGACCATAGCCCTGGCGAAAGAAAGAGAGTCGAGAGTACACCGGGTACTTTTCTCGTAAGCACAGTGGCAGCTCATGGAAGAGAGGATCGAACAACGCTAACCCGAGCAACAGAGGGCGTGCCCCCATACAGGGGCACGCCCCATGCCCTGCAGAAGATCGCTCTCGACCACCCTTAAAACACCACAAAAGGGCCGCCCGATTGGGGTGGTGGTCCTTGACCGCATCCTGAGGTTCAAGAGAAGGCACGAGAGCGAACTGGCAGATCTGCAGATCCTGGACAGTCTGGTCTAACTCGGCAGTGTGCACCACAAAGGGCGGGGAAAAGATTCACAGGGCATGAAGGACTGATTGATTCGTGGATGTTGTTTTCTCCGGCTCTCCGAGACGGTTGTGTGAATGTCGAAGCATTTTTTCGATCCCGAGCACACAATGCACTCTCCACGAAACCCTGAACGCTCGAATCGTGTCAGATCCGGCTCCAGCCAGTGCGGCATCACACTATAAAACGAAGTGTCTGTTGTCCTGTGTGGCCGGTGCTGTTCGCAAGGTCCCTGCCTTTGTGGGCTCTTCGTCCTTTGCTGGTTTTGCGCCACTGCTCTCTTCGCGGGCTCCATGCTTTTTGCGGAATTGCTGCCGCTTGCATTTCCTCCAATCCATACGCTTCGCAGGGTCCAAGCTCCTTGCATTTTTGCGGGCACTCTGCCGTTCGCGGGCTCCTGGCTTGCTTCCTGCTCGTCGCGGGCTCCCTGCCCTTTGTGGGCCCCGACCCCCTTTGCTTTAACTTCAGGCAAAATCCTGCGAAGTGCTGAAGGTTTCTTGTCGGTTTTTCCGGGGAGGGGGGATGTCGCAGCGCAGAGTCAGAACAGAGAGACTTTCCGAGGTAAGATTCGGGCGTCCGCGGACTCGACGGCAAGAACTACCAAATCAGAAAGCCATCTAATTACACGCTTGTCTCAAAGGACAGAGGAAGGCAAAAGAGCTGCCACAATCTGGTAACTTGCCACAATGGCAATTTCACCCAGGTCTTGGTGAGGCAATCTGTGATGCAAGCGATTAGTTTGGCTTCGGCTTCTCAGTGTATGAACTGCCTCTCTGACATGCACAGTGCTTGATCCACTCTATTGAAATGAGCCCCTCTGATGTGCGCATGCATAGTGTTTGAACCATCTTCCTGAAATGAGCCTCATCGTACGTGTTCATCGCTTACATCTCTCTTCGAGCCAAGTGGGTGACAAAAAAATCTCTCGAAGAGAAAGAGCTTGCTGGTTCGTGTAAGCATCTGCGCAGCAATAGGTGAACAGCAGCTGCGCCCCCGGGACTTTCAATCGGAGCCCCGAAGCAGAAATCAGGCAAGAGTGTCACACGAGAGACCTGAATCAGTAGCTGACAGAGAAGGCCAAGGTGGGAGAAGAGTAAAACCAAAAACCCAGGGAGTGCAGATCAAGCAGGTGGCCTTATGGAAGCGCGGCAGCGTTTCAACCGGGTCCAGTTCGGGGGGATGGCCGTAGTTGAAAGGCTTACTGTAGCTCTACCAACCCGCAAATATTGCAGCATGAGATGCAACAGGCTGAGAGACTCTATAGCATAAAGCAATAAAAGATGCCCACCGAAAGAAAAGGGAGAGGAACGGCATGCATGTGGCAGGCACATCCGCAGCAGCTGGGCCGTGATTAGCCACAGGGGCGCGGACCTTGCGAGCCGCGGATGCTCAAAGCCAAGGCGAAGACTCGGAGGCTTATCCCATTTCCTCCAGGCACGTACAGTAGTGACATGGTGCTCTGCATGAGGTCGCCGAGATCATATGATATCATATGTCTAGCTTTGCCCTGCAATCTAGCACTCGGCAGGTCCACTGTGACCTGGAGGTGTTGCGACAGACTGCGAAGCTGCTTCAAAGTCGCTAGTGCCCTACAGGGTTCGAGCTTCACCATCCGTCAGGATACGTTAGAATTGGGTATTCACCAGGGTTTAAAGCGCATGAAGCGTTTCAGCCCAAGGTGCCGGTACTCCTGATGATCGTGAAGGTGCAGGGGCAACGGCCGCCAAAGCGCTTTGGCAGAGACTTGCAGTCCAACAGAGACTTGAGCGTTTGGTCTTTGAGATGCTGCAACGCTTGACTTGAGGCCGCGGCACTGGCACAGGCAGAGTTGCATCGGACGGACTCCCAAGCGGCCCCCTGCCCTGAAAAGCTTTGGAGTGCCGCTGCGAGTCGCATCAGCCGCGCCAGACCTTCGCGTCTCGCAGCGGCGTAGCCGCGTAGCAGCGTAGCGGTCAGGTGGAGGCTTCGGCCTTGTTGTCGCCGAGCGAGCTTGAGGCCTGGGCGGAATCTGCAGCTGGGTTCAAGGTTCAAAGGTTGAAGTGGAAGACGCACGAAAGTTGGAGGAGCAGAACGACCAGATGAGTCGCTACCTCCTGGACCTGTCTTGGCAGAAGGACGCTATGAAGGCACACCTGCACATCATCATTCGGGCCGTGTTGAGGCACAGGCTTGCTCAACGCCTACCGCCTACCACCTCCAAACAGCAACTCGAACCAGAGCCAATAAAGCACACTGTAGGGTCAACGCAATCTCGCACAGCAGCGGAGTGCCTGTTGCTTGTCGCTTGACATCTGGGGCTCTGGGATCCCGAATTGCACGAAGCATTTTGCATGTGTTTCGGAGCGGAGCTGTAGCTGTAGCTGCACTGTAGCTCGTGTCTTCGAAAACACGTTTTGCTGGAAAACATGCAAGTGCCACTTACCCATCTGGCGATAAGTCGGCCACGCAGTGACAATCCGGATTGAGGAAGAATAGTGACTGAATAGTGGCGCTCTCTCTGGCATTACATCTGACAACCCGTGGGAGGCGTCCTGGAGACGTTGTTAGTGCTGGGCATTGCTGGGGACTGGGGCCAATTTTTGAGACGTAAGTTTTTCCTGACGTTTGAGAAAAACCGCGCACATCTGAGCTGTAAGCCCTGACCTTCGGCAGAGCGCGAACTCGCCTTGATCATGACTGGCTGACGGTCACCACGGCCACGACCCAGTGCTTTGTCGCAGAGGAACCTCACATAATGATATCAGGTCCGGGATCCACGCCGCAACCAAGAACGGGTGTGACTTGAAAGGCGCAAAACAATCAGTTTCGGGTGTGCAACCTGCATGAGCCAAGTTCTGCCCTGTAGCCAAAGCAACCTGGAACACAGAGCCCGGGCACTAAAGCACACAAGTTTTCTTTGCGTTGCCTTTCCACTATATAGAAACGTGTCTACCCATCGACAGCCCATCGAAAATACGCAGCTCGGATGCTACAAGCTACATTGGGCCGAATCTTGCTTGGTGGAAACCTTCCAAAACACGCAGATCGTCTTCATTCATTCTGACATAAGTCAGTAAGTGCAGTCTGACTGCCTTAATGATTCGCCAAGCATATGCTGCGCAGTCTCTTGTCTAGCAATGGGGCGTTTCGGGCTGCACTGGTAACATACGCACCGTCGCAAAAGACGATGTTCGGACAGGTCGGTGCGGACGGGACTCGACGTGGGACCCTGCATTGCAAAGACTTCTCCCCAGGTCCACCCAACGGACGCGAAGTAGATGCAGTCCCGGTGCCAGTTCGGTAGCGGCGCCGAGACGCCCCGCAGCTCCTGGGTCATCTCTGCATACCGAAGCCGAGCCGGCTGAGTTCAGAGCAGAGGAGCCACCCCGGTTCCAGCTTCAGAAGTCCGAGGACCTCTGAGCTTCCGTCCGTCAGCTGTTCATGATCATGCATCCGCTGTCTTCTTGTGCGACCATCCCGCATCCCGCTCTACATGACCTCGAGTCAAATCCGGCTCAGGGCCGTTCGGGCCAACGACCCTGACGCTACAGCCGAGAACCTTGTAGGATCCGCCGTTGAACCTTCGTCAGTGTTCCTCGGCAAGTGTCGCTGCGGCGAGCTCAAGCTCTGCGGCTGTGGTCTCAAGCCGATCAAAACTTGGGAAAAGATTCTTGAAACAGCCCTTATCTCATCACTGAGCGCCTCAGCGTGTGAGATAGTTCATGCGGACCACGAGTAAGCTCACCTTCGGAATTCCCCTGCTGACGCGTCATGGTTGGCGACAGGGCGGCGGCAAGATGCATCGCGAATCATCAGAAGGATCATTTTCGCAGTCTCTGATGGCCTCGGTGTCGTGGAAAACAGCAACGACTTTGTAAAGGAATCGGGCAGTGTCGTGCGTATGATCCCAGCACGTCAGTGCTGAGTCTGATTTGTATATCCGATTTGCCAGAGCTTACCACGTTTCTTATGTTTCTCGCCATGTTCTCGGAAGGCAATGCTGGAGCACTTGCAGAATCACGAGGCTTATGCAGTTCTTGGCGTCACACCTGACATCTCTGACGGGGACCTCGCGAAAGCCTACAAGGCGGAACGCACATGCTGAGATGTTTGCCGGTCTTTGCCCGTGAGTGAGTGTGTGAGTGTGCGTGCCGGTGAAACACTTGGACGCAGGCTGCAGCCATGCGCCTGCATCCAGACAAAGGGGGTAATGCCGAGCAGTTCAAGGACGGATGTGACATGGTAGAACGCGGTTCTAGGCTGCCTGTCTGACTAGCATGCCTAGACATCACATGCGTTACACTGGCGGGTGCTTTGCGCTGCCCAGTGTCGAGAATCACGTCTGCTCGAACCAGGCAGCACGCGCGGCCTATGACCGCATCTTGGAGTTGAGGCAGACCGGCGTCGAAGCCTCTCGAGGCCTCTTCTGTCTCTGTTCCATGGAGGCAGGGTGCGGCGCCACGGGATGAGGCTCTGACGTTCGCGCCGTGCGACATTCATTGAAACTGCATCGGCTTCTCTCAGATGTCGCAATCTGCTGCCACGTCTCGGCTCTGAGACCATCATTGCCAATAGGAGTATATGGCGCAATGGCTCGCAACCGAAGGACACTAGATTCCAATCGTTGGAGATCATATTCTAATGCATGCTCTCTTCGTAGCAGCATCTCCTCACGGTAGAACCATTCAGTTGACATGAAGCGGAGCTCGGTGAGATGAGCTACAACTTCGCCCATTTTTCCTAGGCTCTAAGGCCCGCTGAGCATCGGCACGATTCAAGATGGCTGTACAAGGTGCCGCGCGAGCCTGTCGAGTGAGCGCGTGCCAGCAATCCTGGCGCCCCTCAACACGTCCAGGTACAGTTGGAGAGTACCATGTCAATCCGGAGCTCTTGGGAGAAACTTTGGCTGCCTTGCAAAGTGAGTTGCTTCTCGGTTGCTCGATGGTGGCCAGATTCATGAGGCATAGTTGCGTTGCTTGATATTTCAGAATTAAGCTTGCAATCTTTACTGAGGCTCTCGTTGTCGATGCAACAGCAGAAGCAACTTCAAGAAGCCGTGGAGAGCCACCGCACCGAGTTGATGGCGTCGGTCAGGCGGCGGGGCTGATGCTTGAGACGTCGGAACGAGGGGAAAAGTTTGGGGCTGGCAGCTGGTCTGAGCTCAGGCTGAATGGCTCTATGCCGGCAGACAAGGACTACCAGCACACCAGCCGCGACTCTTACGAGATGAACGGCTCTGAGGGCGACGTCGAGGTGCCGAACCCTGAAAGCTCGAGTTGATGTGCCTGTGTCCGGAAGACGCAGCACGGTTTAAAGCTTCCCTTTCGTTGACTCGCTAGCCTCGCTCCTCTTTTGGACTGAGAATCAGGTTTTTGTTTTCGTTGGAGAAGTGACACTCGTTGTGTCCTTGCTTGACCGTGGACCGTGAGACGAAACCGAGCAATCCTTTGTAATTGGCAGTTGCCTCTCAAGTTCAGCTGATATGTTTTGTCATGCCGATGCTTTGATGCATTGGGGGTTGGGAATGCAAGAGTTGGGAGCACGACTGTCGCCAAGCCTCTCTTTCCTCCAATCCCACCCTGACCTCTCATGACCCTTCACCTGGCCCCATATCTCCAAGCTGCCACAGAGCTACCGCAGGTGGGTACCTGATTGTTTTCTGGTCGGATGCCGCATCTGTCTGGCTTGTCAGGTGTTTCATGATTAGCGGCGGCTAGTGTGTCAGCGTGTGCTCTTGGGCAGGCTTTCCAGCACGATGTTCATCCCGCAAAGGATATCGAGCAGCATTGAGTTTTCGGGCATAGCACAGATAATGTAAGAAAGTATGATATATTGACCTTGTGGAAGTAGGCCTCGCATAAGAGGTACTTGTAATTGTACAAGTGACTAGCTTTGTCGGTGCATCGGCAACGTGATATCTGAGCATCCTAGCAGGATAGTGCGACAGTGACCCCAGCTTGCAGAGTCAAGCATAAATAGATGCAGCAGCAGGTTCTGCATGCTTGCGAAGAGACTACGAGAGGAGTCATGCGTGACACGGGGAGCACACAGGTACTAAGGGTATTTCTTGAACGTCAAGCACATGGACAACGAATGTTTATACCATTAGAAAGGATGGGGTCCGCGTGTTGTTTCTCAACTTCACTTTGGAAAAACCTTATTAAACATAGCCGCACTGTTGAGATAAAGATGCTGCAACATGAACGAAAGAGCGCCAACAGAGGAAGCAGTCGACAGTGTCAGACATGAACTTGTCCGGATGGACCCAGGAAACACCATTTGGTGTCTGCTTTGTGTAGCTCATATCGCGGCAACTATCTATCGTGAGTTTGACTCATATGTGCGACGATTTGCTCATGCCTTGTTTGACATACATACACATTGGAGGATGGTCAACATTACTTCATTATGAACTATTTTGCTGCATTTGCGGGCGGTTGTGTTCCTTGCCCTGGTCTGGTTGAAGAAGGGGATCCAGATGCAACCGGGGCTGATGCAACGCAAAACTATATACTGACTGCAAGAGCAAGACTTGTGGCAACTGCAATTGGCATTTCCGTAGTTCTTGATGGAGTTCCGCTCCAAGGACCCGGACGTGACGTTTAGCAATCTCCAGCCGCATCCTTGTCTCCAACTTGATGAGCCGGAGAACGATCCCTACCCACAGATGGGGATGACACCAACCACGCCGATGACACCAACCACGCCAATCGGTTCTCCCGCCGTAGCGGCAAAAGCTACAGACGATTCTCCCAAGGCCCAGTCAGACAGTACGGCCGCAGAGTCGTTGTCTCTTTGCAAACTGAAGTTGACACGTCACCCTCCCTCTCTCTTAGGCCTTCGTTGTGTGCCTTGGTGCAGGAAAGACGAGGAAGCAACGATTCGCCGCTATCAAGGCAGGGAGATGCGAAACCGATCCCTAAGTCTCTTACAGCCTCACGATCATGACAGGAACCTGGGAAGTCGAAGCACGTCGCGCATCAGGACTGTCCCACTACTGTGCTTGGGGTTGGACAAGGCGACCTGATTTGGCAGGAACACTGTCACCGGGCAGGACGAAACGTCAGCTGCCGCAAACTCCTTGAAGCTCGCTCAGGAGCCCTTAGAGTCTGTTTTCAACTGGTGGCAATATGCGGCCATGTGCGAGACAGATGCGCGTCAATCCAGTTGCCCTTCCATGCGCTCCTGGCTATGCTGCTTGTTCTGCGTTCTGTGCTCGCCGTGAGGAGCGCCGGAACGGCTTCGATACAGTTGTTGGCGTTGCTGTCCTGATGAGCCATGGCTTCGGCGTTCGAGGGAACCAGTAGGCTCTGATGCGCATATAGTCCGGAGTGCATTACATTCGGGATGGAGCCCGGGAAGAACCAGTTGCCAACAAGCAGCGTGGCTTGACCCCACTCTGTGGAGTTGACGCCCGTTCAGAGAGGCAGGCAGATTTTCCGAGTTTCCGAGCAAGCCAATAAGCATTGGAGGCGGAATGGGGTGTTCGCATGGTCGCGTGATGATGTTTGGATAGACTGTCAGTTTTTGGGAGTGTTTACATCAAGCGGAGGTTGTACGGGTTGAGGGACCCTTAGTCCGTGGTTTGCACTGATGTGGAGGGCGGGGGGGTTAACCCCCTCTAGACCTGGTTCAGAGAGAGAGAGAGAGAGAGAGAGAACTTGGACTCCTACACCCTAGCCCTGGCGAAAGAAAGAGAACTTGGACCAGTGTGCATGCGTGCGCGGGGGAGGGCTGTCCGGCTCTTCCTTTGGCTGAGATGAAGAAGAAGAGAATTGGGACGAGGCTGCGACAGGGTTGAGGGTCATAAGTTCTTTCACACCAACAGACCAGCTCGGACGTTGGCGTAGCGCTGCGGCGCAGGGGGACGGAGATCGTGCTTCCCCATTCCTCCACACGCTTTGCAAGCAAGCAAGAGTGAGAGAGGAATAGTTGCTAGCGTACCTCGGTCATCTGTGATCCTTGCCTTTAGGTACTGTACGTGGGGGATGACCAGTTCGTGTAGTTTTCACTCCCCTTCCATGAGCCCCACAAACACTTGGGGGCCTTAATGGCCGGGGGGCCTGACTACATGTGGCAGTGTGGAAGAGGAGAGGGTGTGGGTGGGTGGGTGTGTGTGTGTGTGTGTATGTTGTAGGAAAGGGAAGTGTGGAATCACAGACGCAGAGGATTAACGTGTGTTAACACCTCGGCCACTCGAGGCAGGGATTAGGAGAGACGCGAGTGCAACCGAGGAATGCGCTGGTCATGGTAATCGACCTGGAAAGCCAGGGCAACAACGCAGGTGTGACGATTGGCGTGGTCGATCGAAGCATCTGGGAGTCTTCGGCTCCGGTGATTCTGGCCACTCAGCTTTTGAGCGAGGCATTGGAGGTCAGGAGCTGTGTTGGCGTTTAAAGCAAGGTTTTGGAGCACCTCTTCGTCGCCATTTTCATTTTGGAGCTGGTCTGGCGGATCTATTCCGAGAGATTGCGTTACTTTCGAGAGCTCATGAACGTTTTTGACAGCCTCCTCGTCTTGATTTCCTGCATTGACTTGTACATCCTGACGCCTTTGATCCAAACCTCCTTGAACAACACAGCAACTTTGCGTCTTCTGCGGACCATCAAACTGGCGCGGGGCTCAGCAGAGAGCCACGTGGGACGGCGTAGGGTGCAGCTCCGTTGCAGGTGCGTGCCGTCCGAATCGTACGAGCACTCCGGCTTTTTCGAGGTGGCCCGCATTTTTGGAACATCCCACCAGTGAATTTCGACAGTGGCCGTTGCTTTGAGGACTACGACTTCTTGTCCAGGCATGGCCATGACTGAGACTTTGGGGCACACGAGGCAGGGCCGATGGTTCAAGATTGACTCGTTCTCGTTCTTCCAGGCTTGCAGCTCTTTCCTCCCTTCGCTCTGCTGGTCAATGGCACTGCTTGGGATTTTCATGATGATGGGTGCTCTCTTTATGGGCAACTTGTGCGGTTCCCAGCATGTTCTTCCAGTGGGTGTGGTGGCTTCCCTTATATCCGAGGCTACAGGATTTCATACTTGACGAGGATCACGATATTGAAATTCGAACGTGGATGTGGCTCCATTACGGAACGGCCTACAGGGCAATCTACACCATGCAGCTGGCTTGCTATAGGCCAAGATTAGCCTGAGGTTCCCATAAAGGTGTGTGGAGCCAGGTGCGTTCCCAAGCATGCACACCAAAACGTGTTCCGTCTCAGGGGGAACGGTTCGGAGATTGACAGGGTTTAGTGCCGACGCGAGTGCAGCACGGGCATGGGTAATCCATGTATTCACTAGTGTTTCACTGCTAGATGGGCTCGCTGTTTATGCGTGCTGTACTTGTTTTCCCACGAGAACGGGTTGAGTGTGTCAGTTCGAGTAAAAGGAATGAAAACACCGGTTCATACACATTGCACACTCGTGGCATATGTGACCTGGTTACACCGGGGAATGCCTCATAGTTAAGACGCAGCATGACTTCTTGTTGGGGGCCAGCTTTTTGTTGGCATGTTTTTTTTTGGAGGGAGGGGTTGGGGGGTGCGGTGGGTTCTCTGAATTTCTACAGGAAAACTTCTATTTTGCGCTGTGTTTTCACCAGGAAGCCTTATTTTCTCTATATTCTAACAGCAAAAATCTCTTTGTTGCTCTAATGTTCTCTTGGTTTTAGCAGAAAACTTCTGTTTTCTCTATGTTTTCATAGGGAAGAAGCTAGGGACAGAACGAAAAAAAGACAACGAAAGCAAGAAGGAAAGGAAGGAACAGCTGAAATAACCAGAGGAAGAAATAGATGAAGACAGAGAAGTACAGAAAGAAAAACGAACGAACCACATGAACCAATAAAAGAAATAAATAACGAACCAAATGCACAAAGAGTTAGGAGGGCACGCCGTACAAGCTTGCTGCAACGCATATGAGTCTTTTTTGAAAACCCATCATGCAAGCATTGTGTTTGCAACTGGCAGGGGGCTGTCCCGCCCTAACCCCCGCTTTTTGAGCAGTGCAAGCTTGCTTCACAGCGTGTGAGCCTTTTTCAATCCTATCATGCGAGCATTCTGTTTGCAAAGGGGGGGGCCCCCACCTAACCCGCGCTTTTTTGAGCCGTGCAGCTTGCTTCAAAGCCGTCTCTTTGAACCCATCATGCGAGCATTGTGTTTGCAAATGGGGGGGGGGTTCGCCGCTTTTTCAGCCGTGCAAAGCTTGCTTCAAAGCATGTGAGTGTTTTTGGACCCTATCATGTGACATTCTGTTTGCAAATGGGGGTGAGGCTGCACCCCCCAACCCCCCGCTGTTTTAAGCAGTGCAAGCTTGCTTCGAAGTGTATGAGTTTCCGGTTTGAAACCCATCATGCGATCATTGTGTTTGGGGGCGTGTTGTAGATTTATGATGAACCGGAATCGCCAAATGAGGGGACGTGTTTAAGATATGTGATGAACCGGAATCGCCTATGACGGGGCGAGTGCAAGCTATATAGGATGAGCCGGAATCTCCAAACGAGGGGGTGTGTGTAAGTTATATGAGGAACCGGAATCGCCAAATGATGGGGGGTGCGTAAGAAATGATGAACCGGCATCGCCAATTCCGCTGTTAACAGCTCAGTCACGTCGTGGGGCTCTTGGTCGGCTGTGCTTGTGGTCATGCCTGCTGGCAGTGGCCACATTAGTCTTGAAGTGGGCTAGCTCTGCCTGATGGAACTGTCTCCTTGGCACCAGAATAGGTGAGGCTTCAAACCCCGGGCTTTATGGTTCGGATGTCACGTCGCGTAAGCGCCAAGACCGTAACGAAAGTGCACTGGCTGACGCTTTGTTGGCTGTCTTGCAAGGCTTTGTGCAGTCGGAACCTGAGCCGAACACGCGAAGAGTCACTCTTGCTGACGAGGGCCCTCCTGCGCCACCTGAGGCTCGGGACTCTAGCAAAGGCAAACGTCTCAGTAAAGGTAAAGGCAAAGCCAAACCCTTGACTCCTAAGAAGGGCGTGTTGCGGAATGAGTTTGGCAAAGGTGCAGACGCCTACTCCGAGTCAGCTACTGTACTAAACCTGAAGGAGATGGCCGGCAGAGGCCCTTTCTGTTGGAGAGGATTTCGGCACTCCTTACCAAGACTAAGCCTGGAAGGACGATGCTCTGGCCAAGGTCATGCTTACGGAGTTGCAGCCTGCGCGGTTGCCAGACCAAGGGGCCCCTGTGGTCCTATTGAGAACGGCAAAGAGGGTGACGGCCCTAGAACTGTGCAACTTCAGGAGCCTCCTGCTGGTAAAGCTACAAGCAAGGGTGCTTCGGCTCCTCTGTCTGGCAAAGGCCCTGGGCAGGGCAAAGGTGGAGAGTTAGCCACAGGCCCCGACAAGCAGCACCACTCCGTTTCCTCTTGTGCGATTCGGGTGTTGCCTAGTGAGTGGGACTGTAACCCGGTTGTCACCAGTGTCGCTGACGTCAGAAATTGCCTGCAAGGGGGACTTGATCCCCCGGGTAACTTGATCATCACTCGTGACATCTCGTGACCAAAACATGGTCCAAGAAGTTGAGGCTATGTTGGCCGCCTTTGACGCCGAGTTTCCTCTGTCGGTCGCGGTTGTCAACCAAAAGCCTGTCTAACGTCTCCGTCGTTACTGTGTGGTGCTCAAACAAGAAGCACTTTGAACCCCCCCAGTGAGTGAAACGTCAGGTTGTTCAAACTTCGCTTGAGGCGGGACCCGAGCCAAAGGCCCCTCTTGCGGCGCGGATCCGCAGTCAAGATGGTCACCGTCCGTCTCCTTGCCCCAGTTTCCGCAGAAAGTTTGCTGTTGGGGGGTCGCAAAACGACAGTCCTGCTTCCATCATATCGGCGTGTGCACGCGACTTTGGCTGCAGGGCCTCTGCCCTCACCGGCGGCAACTGGGAAAAATCCCAACACAAGAAGGGTGCCATCACGGTTGGTCATGTGAGGGCCACTGAAGACATCGCCCGTCAGTTGGTCAACGTGAGTGGCAAGCATACTTACTTCTGTACTGTGCTGTCTAAGGATGCCACCCGCACCTCGGTTGCTTGGTTCCCCAAGGATCCGCAGTTCTCGGACGAGGACTACTGGAACTATGCTGTCAGCCAAGGGCTTACGCACCAACGACCGCTGGTGTTACGCCAAGCTGGTGGCCGGGACCTTGGGTTGTTGGGCGTGGAGCCTGACCTCTTCGAAGTATGCCCCGCGCAGTTGGACCCAGGACGATCTGCGTTATTTCCTCAAACAGCAGCAGTGGATTGAAGTTGTGCTTACTAGGAAAAAGGTCTCGGAAAAGGGACCTCCGGTGTGGATCATCAAGGCGCAACCTCCTCAGGAGCAAGGGGCTTTGAACCTTGACTCCTTCTCGCATTCTGACGAGAACTGGTGCATCACCATTGCCCCTGAGAGAAGAGCCAAGAAGCGTGCCCAAACTCTTGAGACTGTTCCTCTGAAAGGGCCCAAGAAGAAGTGGGTTGACAAGGAGTCTCTTGCCTCGCAACCTGTCAGTCCCACCCTGCTTGACGAGTCCGACGACGACATCGACGGAGATTATCGGTCTGCCAGCATGCGCTGCGCAAGTCCTAAGGCAAAGGCTCAGTCTGATGCTGATCGTGAAAGGTCCCGATGCCGTGGGAAAAAGGCCAGCGTTGGTGAGGCCACTGCTGCAGTCCCTGAGGCTCCAGCTCCGGTTGCTAATCCTGACGCGTTGCTTGAGGAAGCTCTTGGGTTAAACCTAGGGACTGCGGCGGCGCCGGTGATTACGCCTTCAGGTCTTTGGCGTTCCTGATTGCCTCGCAGCAGGATAAGCGCCTACAGGATGCAGATCTCGCTCGTGAAGCTGCCAGTCTCCGCCTTAAGTGTGCTCTTCACCTTTCGAAGCATCAGGCGACGCTCGCGGAAGTCTGGACGCCAGACAGTAACGAGGCCTGGCTGGAGGGTCGGGGAGGCGCAGCCCCTCCAGAGAACTTTGAGCAATACTTGAAGCTAGTTCCTAAAGCTGCTACGTGGGCGGACGGACTTATGCTGGAGCCCCTTGCTCAGCAACTTGGTTGCCCCATCCTGGTGTGGGTGTGGGCTCATCGCATGAGTCCTGACAGAGAATCGGCCTGGCTTTGTGGCTGGATCTGCTGGTCGGGCCTCCAAGGCTCCTCGTCCCCTATACCTTGCTCTTAAAGACGGTCGCTTCCGGGCCCTGTGTTCCGAGGATCCCAACCATAAATGCCCTGAGGCGTGGTTGGTTGGCGCTGCCAGGAGAAAGCCGCAGGATCTTCGTGGTGCTGGTGAACGTGGGTCTACCAAGAGCGCGGGCCTTTGCAAAGCTTCGTCTTGCGCGGCTTCCTGCTCCTCTCGTTGCAGTTCGTCCATCAAGCTCTGCGCTGCCTCCCTTACTCCGTCGCGTCCTCGGTCGTGCGCTCTGTCTCTTGCTTCTGCCACCCATTCGAGGTCCGTTATAGGTCGCAGTCCTCCGGTCGCAATGCCTCTGCCTTGTCTGTCCGGTCGTCCGGTCCTGGGTCTGCGAGGCTCCGCCTCCCTTCTTTAACTCCTTTTCTGAGGGATCTTGCACTGGTACTACTAGGCAAACCACCGCGGGTCCCTGCTCTACGCCCGTTCCTAAGGGTCCCGTTTGCAGTGGGGGCGACCCTAAACCCCTGCCTGCCTCAGGGCTAGCGGCCCTTCTAGAGGACCTCGACAGACTCATTGTGACTCATTGCTATTGCCTTAGCGTCCTCAACCGCGCCTATGTATCGTGTCTGGACGTGTCCCTTGTGTCAGTTTCGCTGTGAGACTAGTGAGGCTGGCCGCAGGCAGCAAGGCGTACCGTGCCTAATTTGCGGAGTACGTGCTTGCACTCTGAGGCATTGTCTAAGGTACCTTTGAAGCTGCGGGCTTGGACCTGTGCCTTCTGCAAGCATGGGCTCCCGTTTGGCCTCTCCAGGTTCGCGCTGGCTACTGCGGCCAAGAGACACTACCGTCTCAAGCGTGCTTGCAGGGACACGTCTCTGAAGGCCATCCAGAAGGCTCATGGTCCACGGGCTAACAATTTGAATCAGTTCATGCAGTGGACGGACACAAAAACTCATGAAGCAGGCAGTCCAATCGAGAATTGGTCAGAAAGCAAAGTCGTCAACGCACTCCACAACTTTGCACGCGGGAGACAAAATGCCAAAACCTTAGAGTATTGGTCTTTCACGTTGAAGAGTATTACGGGGTGGTTCTTCGACGGTGTCCTCGTGCACATGTTGGGCTCTCTTCGGCGACACAGCATCACCTGGATCGGGAAAACCCGTACAGGTAAGAGTCTCGGTTGTAAAACCGTGGCGTTTTGTCAGTCGAAGTATGAAATCGAGCAAGCCGACCGGGATGATCTTTATCCTGCTATCGTTACAGCGAAACATTTGGACTTTTTCAAGTCCGAGTCGGTCTCGAAATTCAAACCCGCCATCTTCGATGACGGCATGTTGCAGAAGATGCATGTTTGAATCCCTCGGAAACTCGCTTAAACTTGCAATAAGAAGATGTAATAGGTGTAGGCATTTGAACTACCGAAACAGTATGTAGTCATAACATATATATATATATATATATATGTATATACACGCTCATTAATCAAAGCTTACATGCATGAATATACGTATACATGAGGAAGAGGATGCCACCGTGTGGGCGCGCTATTCGTCGGCTTATTTCGAGCAAGGTGCGGGACGCCAGGCGTGCAATAACCCTGACGACCAAGAATGCGATGAGAGCATGTACCAAAAGATGCAAGCATCAGGTATTTGGGAAATCAAGCATGAGAACTTCGTCCAGCTGATCCAACCGTCCTTTGCGAGCATAGACGAAACAGAAGATATGGATGCTATTCTTGCCCGCACGCACACCATCGTCATCACGGATTTCGGCATCTATTGGCGTCTCGCAAGTTCTTCGAAAAGCAACGTGAAGTTTGTTTCATGGCCACATGGTGAACCCAAAGATTTGCTTGCAGCAGCAGAAAAGCCCATATTTCAGGCGTATAGGAAAGATCCTCACAAACACAGTCCCCCAGAAAGCTTCCAGCAGGACATGATTTGGTCATTGGAGGTTCTTCATCGCTTATTCCAAGGAGAGACCCTTCCGCAGACGGTCACAATTCGCGGACGAAGCTTGTTTTCAGACGAGCCACAACCACCTCGACAAATCGCGCCCCGCATCCTCGACGACGCCACAATGCGTACCCGAGTCAAGAAGGAGCAGGTGTCCACAGTGTTCCGTAATCTAAAACGCAATGGCCCCATACAGATTGACCTCAACTCTCCTAGTCCCGATGCTAAACGTCGGACATTTCCATTGGACAAAGGCGCAAGCTCATCAAAGTCAGCAGTTTCATCACACACGGCCCATGTCGTTAGGAACCCGCATTTCTTCGATCATGAGGACAGCGATGTGGATGATGTCGCCCAAAGTAAGGATCCAGATGATGATGATCTCGAAAAGCAACTCGAAGACCTCGTGGAGCAGGCTAAAGAGGCTGAGGAGGCCAATGATGAAATGGATGTTGTCGAGGAGGCAGTCGGGGAAGGCCCAGGAGACAACAATCTCACAGGCGCGGGATTCGTATTCTTATTTTTTCTTTATGATGTTCATGTGGATGTCATGCATAGAAGCGCAGAGTGATTGAAGCCCCACTATGCAAAACGACTCACATATACATGTCTTGAGTCCCCCAATAAGCAAAGCATATTCATATCGTCAATTGCCGTAATAAGCGAAATATCTCGACGAATGCATGCGAGCATGTTTGAACCCCCCAATAAGCAGAGCAACATGTTTTTAGTGACTTCCGAGTACATGTTTCGAGTGCCCCCCACAATAAGCAAAGCATATTCTTATCGTCAATTACCCCAATAAGCGAAATATCTCCACGAATGCATGCGAACATGTTTGAGCCCCCGATAAGCAGAGCAACAGTTTTTTAGTGACTTCCGAGTACATGTTTCGAGTGCCCCCCAATAAGCAAAGCATATTCTTATCGTCCGAGGCCCCAATAATAAGCGAAACAATTCCATGCATGCATACGAACATACTTGAACCGCCCGCTACGCTTTCCAATAATGCCTACGAACATGTTTGAACAGTTGTATCCGAAAAAGGTGGCGCCGATCAGCATGGCCTATTTCGCGATGTATGTGGCGTGCGAGTTCTTCAGTGGTTCGGGCTGCCGGTTGAAGTCGTGAAGAGTGGGCCCTTCAGTGTGGCGATTCTCAACAACATGATCTCGATGTTCAATGTTGAGTTCGTTCCGGTGTCGCCCGCACATGTAGGCATGGAGGGTATGTGCCTATGTCATTCCAACAACCATTTCACCGGTTCATGGTGTCGTGAAGGTTTAGTTCGGCACTTCGACAATGGCGACGTGAGTGCATGCAGTATCAGCTTCCCCCAGCAGCTCGCACAATCAGATGCCACAACGTTTTTTCGCATGGTCGGGAAACATGCGCATGATCCCCACAAGCTCTGCAGCCTCGAGGGCGGCTCCGGCAATGCATACAAGCGTCCAGCGGCAAAACCGCAAAATCCACAGTTCACCTGCCCCCTCACGCAATGCGCCATCCCGGGATGCGGAGGGTCATTAGTGCAAAAGCAGCCTATTGAGGCTATTTGTTATGGCATGGCCGGCCCTCAACATGTGATTCACATGCCCAAGCAGTGTAGCTCTAGAAATTGCCGGTCCACTTATGCCTACAACTTTCGGTGGGAAGCTGGACAGAAAGTCAATGTTCTAGATTTGGAGGACTTCAAAGATGATGTGATTTTCGTCAGTGGCAAAAAGTGCTTCAGCATTCAGTATCTTCGTTATCATGAAGAGCTCCTTTTCCGTGGTCACGTCTCTACCAGAGCCATCGAGCATGCCTACACTTCCGTCTTCGGCCTGCAGGATGATGCTCCCAATGATGTCGTCACGGGCTTCAGGAAACTTCATCAGACAGCTTTACTCTATTTTCTCGCAATCAAGGAGTTTCAGGTGTTGAACCTTCATAAAACTTTGCTGATTGATGATGAAATCGCCGACGCGAGCCTCGACCTCTATCATGCGTATTGTCATGCGAGTTTGTTCCCTCCAGAGAACCGCCAGAAAGTGCAGGCATTGGTTGGGGATGGTCATCTTGGTTTGAAACCCCGATGCGAAGATGGACCTGTCAAACATGCAGGACGACCGCGCGCACAGTCGAACAAATCGTCGAAACACAGCAATGGATGGTTCATGACGTGTGATCCCAGCACCGGCAGAATCATATCGCTCATTGTCATGCATGAACCAGAGAACAAAAGATATACCAACACCGATATAACCATATTTATTATTGTTTTTTTTTTTCATGGTGCCTTATATACAACCTTATGCCATTCATATGTTCGCTTGCATACACAATAATGTTTATCCGACGATGAACAGGTCGCCGCAAGAAGCTTGGCAAAATCATCAAGGGTGTGAACACCAGCATATGCGAACAGATTTTCGCATGGTTCCGCAACTTTTCGTTCAACTTCAACGAACTCCGTGGCAACCGGCATAAGTTTGTCATCCTTTACATGGCTAAACGCCGCAACGAAGCCATCGAGAGCAACACCGCAGTGTATCTCCGCCCCGTAAAGAAGAAGTCGCATGGTGTTATCAAGCCGTATGGGTGTGGCGTTCAGAAGAAGACCAGTGAGGCCACCATCAAGCACAAGTGTATTATGAAAAGCTCGCGTAAGAGGTGTGTGATGAAAGCCATGAAGCGAATCATGAAGAAGTAGTAGATTCGATGCGTTTGACAGGCACAGTGCTGTATCATTGGGTTTACAATCTCTGCATGTAGTAAAACTAAATCACAGTGGTACTTGCTTATATATTAGATGCTTCGTGTTGACGAGTCACAGCGAACAGCATGTCAGAGGCAATTTTGCAGATGTCTCGCCGTCGTGCTTCGCATTTAGCGTAAGGCCGCAAGACCACACACCAGAGTCACCAGAGACTGATCTCCGCGAGAAAATGCGCGCGTAGAGCTAGCAGTGTAGTAGGCAGGAAAACCAAGGAAAAATAACAACACATGCAAAAAACCATCAAAAAACCAAAAAAACAAAAAACGCAAAAAAAAAAAAAAAAAAAAAAAAAAAAAAAAAACAAAAAAAAAAAAAAAAAAAA